AAATATTTTAATTTCTTGGGAATAAAACAATATTTTCAAAAACTAAGTGTGTAGGGGCTTGTATTACATCATAGCCTACCTCCCTTCAAAATATGAGACAAATCGAATTTTTCACACTTGCCACGAAATTTCAAAAATGTCTGAGTTTTACTGACATCCACTCTTAAGTATTTTAAAGGACAGTCGGAGACAGAAATGTGAAACGCTACAATCCAAGCATCTATCTCATCAGGATGTGCCAGAACCTGAAGCTACCGACCATGAACAATTCTTTGTGGTCGGTAAAAAAGTGAAAGTCAAGTGGTCAAGAGAAGAAATTGGAGATAGTGGTTGGAAAGTAGGATGGTACTCTGCAGCAGTCCAAGGGTTTTCGATTAGAAAACGACACAATCGACATTGTACATTTTGCTGAGGAGGAAAGTGTATATACCATATGCATATCAGAATATTTGTCACAAGGGAATCTCATGCCCGTACAAAAGTGAAGAACGCTAAAACGTTGATTTGGCTGTTCTTTTACCAAACCATGTTGATGATCTGGCTGTTCTTTTACCCAACCATGTTGATGATCTGGCTGTTCTTTTACCCAACAAATTTTCAGATATTAGTAAATGCGAGGAGTTCTTGTCATTTATGAAGTAATTTTCGAGCATTTAATTTCAAAATGTAAACAAACTACGTCATCAGGCGCCAACCTATAAAGTAAATTTTTAAATAAGAAAAAAAATATTTAATTTTATGTCAAATACAGGGAAGGGGTGTTAAAATTAAGTAGAAATGCAGGAAAGGGCCGTTTTTAGGGGCACTGCAAAATCCAGGGGAGGGGGTGTTAAACTCAAGTGGAAATCCAGGGAAAAGGGGGTTTGAGGGCACTGGAAAATCCAGGGGAGGAGGGAACTCAAAATTGTCCCCAGAGAACAGCTATGACCAATGATGCAATAGCCTCTGTGGAGATTGAAAAATTGATGAAAAATTGTGCGCCAAAGAAGATGTATTTCATCAGCTGGACTAGAATGGCAAAATTCCAGACATTCCTTGACAACAACAAGAGTTTAAKTAGCGGAGCGTGACCTTTCCAGAACTATAGTATCTGTTTTATCCTTTTGCTCTTTATCAAAGCCGTTGATATTTTTCTATCTTGTGAACGTGTTTTGAACATTTCAAATCAAAAACTGAAGGTTTTTTGGCGAATTGAAGTCGAAGCGTCGAGGGTGAGACGCACGTGAAAATGGCGGATATCACGGGTAAGTTGTTTATATAAGTTTTCTGTTATTTCAGAAACTAATCTTGATTATTTCATAGAAATACTTACAACTATATCATCCGAGTTTATTGTCGAACCATTAACTATGGTTTTGCTAAACATCGCCGATTTTGAGCCATTGGAAGTCCGAATAAACTACCTCTTGTGCTTGTTATATGTATGTAGCTAGAGGTGTTATATCAGTGATACACCGGATAGCCAAGACCTACAGTATATATGAGGCAGTTCTGTTTTTAATATTGATATGCCAAGGGCATATTTTAAATTTGTTTCAATATTTATTGCGTTTTGGCTGATATATGACAGAAAAGACCTCGAATACGGACCATGGAAGCACCGAGTCCAAGACACGATTTCACTGTAGTGTTTCTTTGTGTAATGGGGAATCGCACTACAACCCAGCACTTTCTTTTCATTGATTTCCTAAAGACGCAACACTAAGAAGTGCCTGGATTCAAAAATTAAGGCAAGATGAAGGACCCTATTTCAAGGTAAATATGACAGATAACACACAGCACGAGGGTTTTCTCGAAACATTTCTTAGGCAGTGATTACCGTCCTCCAAACAACTCAGGAAAAAGACTTCGCAAAGTTGGCGTCGTCCCTACAATGTTCGACTGGTCTGGAAAAACCAGTCAAAGGAAAAAATTGATTCGAAAAGTTGACGGGTATACATATTTATATATAAAAAAGGAAATGTGCCTAATTTACTGTTCTGAAAAATCCAACAAATAAATTGTATGGATATGACTGTTATGAGGGAAAATAATGATAATTCATTCAGAGTGCTGTCTTTGCCATTAATTTTACTTATTACTTCTGTTTTAGTGKGACTCAGACTGACGAGAGTGAGGATGAGAATGATTAGACTAGATGTACATGAGCCCTGTCCTGATTCTGAAGCAGCAAAGTACTCCTGTTGAAGCAGAAACAGAGACCCTGAGAGCAGCATATGGTGCAGCTCAAGTTTGAATAGAAGCCCTCAGAGCCCAAGTTGCAGCCTTAAAATTGCACAAGTTTGGTAAAGAAAGATTTTTCTCTGATAACGACCTCATAAAGTTTTACACTGGTTTTGCTACCTGTAATCATTTTTACAGTTTTTATGATTATGTCGCACCTTCTCAGTACATGAAGTATGTTTAATCCGCTGGTATTCAAAAAAGCAGGCCTTTAGCACGCACCATGGTTTTGATTGATGAGTTGTTTTTGTTTTTAGTTAGAATAAGACTAGGTTCGTTTGAACAAGATTTGACAGATAGATTTCTTATTAGCACATCATCTGTTATTAGAAAAGTGACCACTAATTATTTATATTTTATCCTTGGCACCCAGCCGGTTTGGATGTCCAGGGAGGCAATAGATGAGTACATGCCACAGTCTTTTAAGGACATTTACCTAACCACCAGAGTTATTTTAGATTGTACTGAGTTGTATGTTCAGACCCCTTCCTCACTTTTGCTACAGTCACAGTTATATTCTTCTTACAAAAGTAACACCACTCTAAAGGGTCTGATTGGAGTAGCACCTCATGGCGCTATTCCCTTTGTATCTTCTCTGCACACAGAGTCTATTTCAGACAAGGAAATTACACGGTGCTCATGTATACAGGATTTATTGGAAGATAATGACTCACTAATGGGTGACAAAGGCTTTGACATAGACGACCTCTCAATAAAAAAGAAAGTCGAGCTAAATCTCCCCCAATATCTTCAAAGCAAGGGCCAGTTTTGCATTCGTGAAGCCCAACAAACAAAGTCAATTGCTAAACTAAGAATTCACGTGGAAAGGGCAATACGTAGAATTAAGGAGTACCACATATTTGATTCTGACATTCCATTGAACATGCTTGGTACAATCAATCAGGTTTATACCGTTRTTTGCCTATTGACCAACTTCCAAGGTCCACTTATAAGAGACAAAAACAACACCTAATAATATAATATATACTACTCATACTTATCACTAATGGAATTGTGAATGTAATTACCAAACAAGTAACAAAACAACAATAAATATTTCTTAGTGTCACCATATTCTTTCATGTAAGGTTATATAATAATTTTAAATTCTTCAGAGCTGCAGCTGTTTTTATTTTAGAAAATAATTGAAATTAAAAAGATCACATTTATCTTTACTTTGCTCAAAACATCCTTCATCAAAGACAATTCCTTCACAATGAAATACTGATTCATTGATGAAACTAAATAAATCACACCATGGTAGCCCTGTTAATGCCAGCTGACACTGTACCTGGTAGCAGCAATAATGTGCTCGTTTGAGCTGTAGATTACMATTTTGTCCAACAGTCATATCCTGTACAGAACTGAACTCAGTTGTACCCTCTTTAGTGATTTTGATTTCAAGAAGACCGAAAGGCATGTCATCTTGTTCCTCTGCATCCATGTCATACACCTTTCGGTCTGTGGTACATCCAAGCCAGGGGCATGCAGGGTTTATGACCAGTCCTGATGGGTACAAATTCACTTTTCCATCCCTAGCAGTGCTTGCATGTTGAGGCAGCAGTGGCCTCCATGTCTATGCCACGCTGCATATCTGCAGTCACAACCCTTCTCGAAGGATTCATTTGTTTTACAAGATTTTCAAAACCTGACAATCGTTTTCGTACAAGTCCAAACTTGCAGTTATGCGCTACTATCTCAAAGAGAACCAAAGTTGACTGTCAGATTGTGACAGAGTTGCATTCTCCAGCTCAACAGCTTTATCATTTTTTTCCTTGCTAGATTATGTGATGGCCTTCACGTTGACGATAATAGATTTGTTGAAGAGACTATGAACACACAGTGGCTTGGGCAGTCAGAAGAAGATCCCCTCGTGTACATGGTTGGGAACAATGACAAAGCCAATTCACCGAGGTCACTTTTTATTTTGACATGTTGAAGAACGTTTAACTCGTTTAGGTAATGGCTGTAATGCTGATTCTAGTTGCACAGACAGCGAAGATGAACTTGAAGACGTCAAAAATAACGAGCATCAACGCCAGACGACAATGCAGAGTGACAAACCTTCACGTCTTGAAGCTGGTCGTAGTTGGGCAGGGAGGCTTGTGGCAAGATTTATTTTGTAAACTTTTAAGGTTACTGTACGATGGCCCAGAAAGCTCACAGTCTAGTTATTACTTTTTCGTACTCCAGTTATTGTTTTTACAGTCCAGTTATAGTTTTAACACTACATTCATTTCATGCTGGACAGTCCAGTATTAGTTTCCACGTTCTAGTTTCACTTATTTTGCACAGTCCAGTTATAGTTTTCACAGTTAATTTTTTTTTTTTTTTTCTTTTCACAGTCCAGTTAGAATTTTTGGAGCCTCATTATTTTCAAGCTAGAACCCAGCTCTCTTAGACCGTTCTTAGTGCCCAAACCACTCTCTTTTTCCCGCACAAAAATATAACAGTTTTCTGGGAACCTGGACGAAATTTCGGTAGCCATTTGTGACACAACAGAAAGACCCGTTTTCCAATTTCCTGGAAATGGAACAGTAGATGAATATTTGAAGGCAAATGGCCTGTATCCTTCATCTTCTTACTTCTACTTACGCACTCAACCTAAGAGCTGTATACAAGATGAGTTTCAGAATATACAAGATGCTTTTGAGAATATACAAGATGCTTTTGAGAATGACAGGACTGATGAGTTTGAGACTGAAATTGGCCGTGATACAACATTGGCAACAAATGAAAGCTCTGGTCAAAAAGATCAGAACAGTTGGGAGATAGATATCATGTAATTCAAATAGCTGTTTATTAAGCTACAAATATGTCTAATTAACACTGAACTTGGTATTCACTTCCAGCTGCATTGATATCAAGGAGGAAATGATAATCTTGTTCGATTTATTTTTAGTTTTGTGAAGCTGGTTTCAAACTCCTCTTAGGTGACTTTTTCTGAAAGAAACAATAGTTCCACTGCATGTTTTGGATTGACAAGTCTTCTTGGCTGTCAAACGGCACAAATTCTCTTGGTCCCATATGAAAATACTTTTGAGTTTTCCCAGCAACTTCCCCAGAAAGTCTTTGCACGATAAGCTCAAATAATAATAATAATAAGCTCAATAAGTTCAAAGTTTTTTTATGATGATTCAATATATCCACAAGTTACTGCTCTTCCCCCTTTACTTTATTTGGCGTTTTGGTTCTTTTTGCTTTGACTTTATCTTCTAGTTTCTTCCATCTATGCCATTTTGAAAGCAAGGAAACTCTGGTTGAAGCCAGGTTGTGACCTGGCCTCCAAAAGCTTGTGTGAAAGGCATGATGGTAGTGGCGTCCCTCAGCCAGTGATGCTTTTATTTTTTAATCATTTATTTATTTTTAATCACTGGCTGTGGACTGCCACTAATTTTTGTTTTGATGTCCTTTCCTTTCCTCATTTCCTGTGTGTTCACATTTTCCCCCATTTTATTTGCGTTTCATTCTAAATTGATTTTATTTTATTTTTAATTTTTTCTTCTACTGGAGTTTTAAGAGTAATCAATTGCTTATACTCCTTGAAATCACTTTCTGTTTACTGTATAACAAAAGATAAAATTAAAATATGAAAATTAAAATAAAAAATAAGATAATAAGATGATGGTGAAGGTAAGCATCCTTTTATGTAATTTCAAGTAGTATACCAATATTATAATAAATTGTGGAACATTTCCTTTTTGCAAGGGAGGAATCATGATGGAAAAAAAGGTATTCTATGAGTGGTTCACCACAGGTAGCCCATGAACGAGCTTGGTGATGCCCCATGTCCATCTTTGCCAAAACTAGTAAATATTGCTTGTGCTGCAAACTTCCTTTTGCTACAACTCAAAAGACATGGAGTTCGAATTGGACCAAGATTGCATTGCCAAAGACTTTTTTGGGCAGATATGTTAATCACTGTTATTGAACTGTCAAGTAATTACTGTTTTATTTGGTGCAAAATGTGCAATGGTTTATCATTAAACTATGAATAATATGTTTCAACTTAGGCAAAAGAAAGAAGTCACCTGCTCTTAGCTACAAGAGAACAACTGACAGCCCTGGCCAAAGCCAAAACTTGGTATGTTTACCTTCAAGCTTGTACAACGCCCTTTCCAGCAACCATTGACAGTTAACACTTTTGTAAAGTCAGGAGAATTCGTGAAACGAGTGCCACTGCTATTTTCGATAATGTCTGGCAAAAGAAAAAAAAAATTATAATAAGGTAATACAGGTCGATATAAGTAATAAATAAGAAAAGGTAATAAAGGTAAATGCATTGCAAAGTAAGCCAAATTACATGAACAAGCTTTCCCCCGTGCATCCCTTGGTTATATGTCTGAATATGTAGTAAACAACTTATGGACAGTGCAGACTGAGCTGGCCTCTGTTGCTTTTACCCGCAACAATACTTCTTATGAAGCGAAGTTAAAAGTACTTTCATATGGCAAAACGTACTTATAATTTGAAGTTCTCTAGATAATCTATACTATTAAATCCATCAAAGTCATTGGATAAATATGATTCTTGAACAATTAGTGAAAAATGCACTTATGTATGCCTCTGGGAACATCCAAAATTTGCACGTGTTTACTATTCCCATCAAAATGTTTCAAAACATATCCAATAAACTTTCCTTCATACTTTGATATACAACAATCAGTATCGCAAAAATCAAAAATCTGAAATAAAAAAGGGGGCACCATTCTCGTTTTTTATTTATCTTGATAAAACATTTCAAAATAGTCAATATTTGACACCTTTCCGAGTGGAGACTGGGGCGAGTCAGATAAAAATCGCAATTTCTCAAATCAAAAAAAGAGAAAAAAGTGAAAATTGGTTTTGAACATGTTTCTTGTTTAGTTTCCGAAAGAAACATGCCTAAACTTTGTTAGATCCATGCTTTTAGATGTGGCAATTTTTTCTGTGTCAATAAACTTAGGTTAGTGGTTGAAGGATCGCAGCCCAAGTAGCGAAAGAGCGCAAAATCGTACATACTGCAAAACACACACCAATGGAAAACTGTCAACAACATTTTCTAAAACAATTAAGTATTTAAGAGCGGCAGTCTGTAACTGCCGCCTTAGGTGTGTAAAATGATAAAAAT